CAAGCACTCTAATAGTGTAGAAAAAGAGGTTACTGCAAATGAATTTCAACAAAATTCACTCGTGGCATTCGATTTTTGAATATGTTGCAAATTCTGAAGCAGGATTTGTCAATTTTAAACAGAGATGTTCTATTGACAGTGCTATTGAGCAAAAGAGACCATTTGCAGGGCAACGAAATTGCAAAGTGATTTTGCATCGTTCCAATAAATTGTTGTCAACAAATAAAAAGATACATAATTTAATAATACTGAAAATTGTTCCCGTAAAAGCAACCTGTGCCTGACACTGATAAAATAACAGATATACCCGATTATACTTGATTACGCTTGGACGTAAAACCATCGCGGTGAATTTGATATTTTTCTCAGCAGGGCAAAAGCTATGAAGAAAGATCTACGAAGCATGAAAACGCGCCGAACCGTCCAGGAATACGATAAAGAATGCGGTGCAATTGCGACATCGAAACGAGATTAATAAAACAAGATTGTAGGAACAAATGAAAGCTACGATTCGTGTCTAAATTAAGAAAGAGATTGGCGTTTAATGTCGCGATTCGAGTTCAAGGGTCCGCTCTGTACGTTAACGGCATCGTATCGAAGCGGTTTCGATCGGTGGCAGAGTACATGGATATGCAATGCACCGCCGTGTGTCATCGACAGGCGATACAGAACATGAAACAGGAGTACGCGCAAAATGCTCGTGAAACTCGATCCCGGCGTTAACCGGCCTTCCGTTTTAAGCGTTGCCTTATCGACAGGCGCCATAATGAGTTTTAAGAATGTGCAGCGTGTTTCGCCGAGCGCGACACACGCGTCGACGACGCGCTAATTCGATAGAGAAGAGAAGTGAAGCGTGGAACGGGGACGAAAAGAGTGAGAATGATTTGCGAAGTAACGTCGGGCTGCGAGAAAATTCCGCGGCGACGACGACGATGACGACGACGACGACGACGACGATGACGATGACGAAGAGAAAGAAGCGTTCCTTGGACTCGTTCTCGGATGCAACCGCGAAATAAAAAAGGCGAGAAGGTGGACGAGAGAAGAAAGGAGATTGGTGTTTGCAATTTTGGACCGAGCCCTCTTCGACGGGACCATGGGCCGGGCCCGGGCAGGATATTACCTTCGAAATCTAATTATGAGATTTTTATAGGGCTATCGTAAAACGGCCGAATAATAGTTCGCAACTCCTCGAGAGCCGACTAGGCCGCAACCTCCGCCAAGATAATGGGGAATAGCACGAGCAGACCCCCGAAAAAGAAACAGTGGAGCACTCGAAGCCGCGCGCTTCGACACTGTCAAGGGCGTTCTTCTCTGAGCCGGCACGGCTCAGACTCCTAATCAAACCCCCTATCCGATGTAATTAGACGGTTCCTCGGGAGGAATGGTAATTAGAGAACCTCGGCCAACACCTCGGCTATATTGGTCAATTATACTGCTTACACGTCCCGAATTATCATACGTCTATGCAACTTAATAGCCGGAGAACTCGATAATAGGTAAATCTTCGCCTAATATCGTTTCGCATTCGCGACGCATCGTCCCGCGTTATTGGGGCAATCGTTTCACCCCCTGTGCAAATCACCGAACTGTACAAATAATTGTAACGGTTCTATGTTTACCGAAGACTGTAAAGTCTCTGCACACAATTTCATTGTCGGACTATAAATCGCCGTAACCGTGTTCAAACGCAGTAGGTAGGGGCTACATTCGGACTACTTCTACGATATTCTCGCTTACGCGGGATGATCCCCAATCCAGGAATTCAAAACATTCTGAATTTTCGAGGTTATGTAGTGTATATGTAGATATGTATTACGCATATTTTTTTCTCTCGCGTAAATTCATTTTAAGGGGTGGAAATTAACCACCAAATACTCGACCGTTCTTTCTTCAAAGAAAAGTGAATTCTTTTACCCAAATCTATCATGTTGTATACAACTTGTTAATCGTTTAAACTATTGGTAAAAGTTATAAACATATAAACGATGTTTTACGAACACTACGCGGTAGATATTGACAAAAGAAATATCTTTCGTTTAAACGCATCTTTTCTATCTTGTACAGCTTGCGAATCGGAGCAAAGAAATAAAAAATAGCCGAATATTTGGGGGTTAATTTCCACCCCTTAAAGCGAATATACGCAAAAAATATTCCTTAGTACATATCTACATATAAATTGCGTGCGTACTATATACACAGGATTTTTGGAATTTCCGGGTTGGAGATCATCCGTTGTTAGAAAGACCGTAATAAAAATATGCTAAGAATGAAATTGTTTCTTTCGGGATCATCGGAGCACTGTTAGGCCACGTTACGTCAGAAATCGGGGGAAAGCTGGAGGACACGTTCGTCAATCGAAGAAATCATGGTAAGAAACGCCACCCTCGTTGCGGGGTGGCGCTCGGTGCACTGCCCGGACAATGCACACGTTTTACCTGGTCCCGGCGTAACGAGACATGACGTCACGACATGGCGTCTGCAGGTGAAACAGCGAGGCCAGCAGCGCAAGTGAGCGCACTCGCTAGCCGATCCGATTGGCCGAAAGGGGAATCCCCGCCCTTGCGCCGCGCTCTGCACATCGTTTCTCCGACGTTCGACCCGTTCTTAACCCCTCTTTGCCCCCCCTTTACCACATCTCCTCCCCGTGGTCCTTCTATCCATCTCTATCGTTAGGCCGTTTATCACTCTGCCTTTCTTTCCTCTTTTTCGCAAACTCGCTGCCCCGAACTCGCCTCCGTTTTTCTCTCTTTCTCTCTATCGTCGCGTCCTCTCGGACTGTGCACCGTCGCACGGTTGGCTGATCAGGGGACGCTAATCAAACGACATGTCGACAGAATGCAGTTGCACATTATTTCGAATAAATGGAACCGATATCCCGCGACGCTTTATCAAAATATAAAATACGATCCAGGAGTTTTTGTATCTTTTTCACCAGACCGAATCGACATCCACCGACTTATCTAATCGCGTCTCCGTCCGTTATTTAATCTCCACTAGCTGGTGTCTTCTATATCCTTCCGCGATAAACATTTCAACGCAGTTACCAAAAATTAGATCAATAAATCAGTCGTCCGCGGTACAGACGCGCGACGTCTCTCGACAAAAATTACAGAGCTGTCTCTGTGTAGTATTTTAGAAAAAATCTTTATAGAAAGAACCACTTCAAGTTACTGATGTAACTCAAAGAAAATGAACAGAGAGGACCGAGATCAAAGCGACGATCGTTCGTGCCAAGAACAACATTTCGATTTCTATGGACGATTAGACGGAAAAACGGCGAGATAAGTATTCGATTTGAACGAACGAGAGGACTGGTCTATTTCTATGTAAAACAACCTCGACAGGAATCGTATCGAAGGAGTCGTAAAATGGAGCTGACCTCTCTTGTCCTGGTTAAAAAGGAAACTATTGGTCTAAAGATATAGATCGTAATTATCGAAAGGTTTTAAACTGTTTCTTGCTAACAGAAATTTCATCTATGTTATTAAATGGTGCAGGTTCGTGTTCCGATTGAAAGAAACACTATCGAGCCAAGACCTAGACTATAGTCATTAATAGTTTTAAATACTATTTCTTGCTAACAGGAATTTAACAGAAGAATTTCGTCTATGTTATTAAATGAAGCAGAGCCTCTCTTGTCTTGATTAAAAAGGAAACTATCGATCCAAGGCGTAGATCGCAATAATCAAAAGTTTTTACAGTAATCATTGGTAGCAGGAATTTGATAGAATTCACTTTGGCCATAAAACGAGGCAGGCGCTCTCTTGTCCTGATTAAAAAGGAAAACTGTCGATCCAAGGCGTAGATCGCAATAATCAAAAGTTTTTACAGTAATTATTGGTAGCAGGAATTTGATAGAATTCACTTTGGCCATAAAACGAGGCAGGCACTCTCTTGTCCTGATTAAAAAGGAAAACTGTCGATCCAAGACGTAGATCGCAATAATCAAAAGTTTTTACAGTAATTATTGTGTGGTAGCAGGAATTTGATAGAATTCACTTTGGCCATAAAACGAGGCAGGCACTCTCTTGTCCTGATTAAAAAGGAAAACTGTCGATCCAAGACGTAGATCGCAATAATCAAAAGTTTTTACAGTAATTATTGTGTGGTAGCAGGAATTTGATAGAATTCACTTTGGCCATAAAACGAGGCAGGCACTCTCTTGTCCTGATTAAGAAGGAAAACTGTCGATGCAAAACCTACATCGTGATAATTAAAAGGTTCTAAATTATTTCAAGAGAACACAAATTTGATAGAAGAACTTCAACTGTATCATAAAATGGAACAAAACCTCTGTTATCCTGATTAAAAATGAAACTATCGATCGGACACCTAGATCATAATAATCGAAAGGTTTCAAACTATTTGTTGGAATTCAACCGAAGGCTCGGAAAATAGTGGACCCTCTCGCAGCGCCAAGAGCAATCTCTCATTTCGTTTTGCTACTTTCACATCATCCCCATAAGCCGCGCGTGCAAATACTCGAGATCGTAGAGTAGCAGAGAGAAGAGGAGAGGAGAGGAGAGGAGAGAGAGCTCGTGTCTACACCTCTCTCGTGGGACCTCGGGTGCACCCCTCCGTTTGTCATGCCGAGGATCCTCCCGGACGACACCCTCGTTAACCCGCTCTTATCGGCGCTGTTTACGCTGCTATTATCGCTACGGAGACCGCCGACTTTTTCCTTTTCGCTCGCGCGAGGCTGCGAGGATCGCCGCGCGAAACACCGAGGCGTTACGTAAAATTTGTTAAATATACCGGGCCTCCCGTGGAAACGGGCTGTCGCGTATCGATGCGTATTTTTAGAACGGACATATCGAGGCAAGGATCGAAAGCGCGACGCTTCCTGGATCCCGGCCGAATGATCTATTAGCGGGGAATAGGCGGCGAGGGACAAGCTACGGGTTATTATTATTCGGAAGTTCTGTCAGAGCCATTGGAGGCTCATAGGAGATCACAGGAAATCGTGAATCATAGGAAAAGCCATAGTAGTGGACAGTGTCGCTACTCGGCCTGATGGCTAAGATCGAAGTGTAATATCTGTTCTTATCAGTTTAACATCTGATACGCTGTCCATAGGGCGGTCAGAATATTAATCTGCGAGTCGACTCGGCATTGCAGTAGCGGACAGTTACCTGTTTTGGTCCTGGAGATCAAAATTCAGGCGACACATCGACAATGCTGCAGAATTAAAAGCGCAAGGAAGCCATGCAGAATTTTAAGAAGCGGAAAGCGCATGCAAAATTAATGGAGCATAGCTTCGATATCAAATACCCGCAGAAATATTTGCGCTTCGATCGAACTGAAAAATTCGACGAAATGTAAAAACTATAAGAAAGAGGTATCCTGAATGCTGGTCCGCCTTCGAGAATAATTAGTTTAAAAGGGAACGAATAATGGGGAATCGGAATAATCGGAAAAAGAGCATAAACAGTTTAAAAGGGGACATAACTGAGACGCTGTGATGTTTAATATTAACTTCGAAATTATTTGTAAAATGAAACACGAGACCAGGCCGAGGTCAAGATGTGTTTTTCCATGCGAGTGCATACACGCATGCACGAATCGATTCGCAGAAATTGCAATCGATAAAAATCCCGTTTCCTGTAACAAGGGTTCTTTCAGGTGCTCCTGAGAAGATAAGAATCTTTTTACGATTCTGCATGTTGAGGGACCAAGAAGGACATAAATCCGGCACGTTTTATTCCCGTTCTCGTACAGGGTCAGCATAATTACAAGAGGCTGTTTGCAGCCGCGCGCTTCGGAGAAGGTTATTCGGCTCGCTCGATACAAGCGATCGTTTTCATCGGAACCGGCTTATCGATCAACACCTCGGGGATCGCAATGCAAACACGCGGCGCATTTTGCATATTTTTCGGATGACGTCAGCAGCCGAGTGAAAAATAAGAATACACCCAATCGCGATAACGGCCTTCTGTTTGTCGCTAATAGAATCCTGACGTCGCGAGTGTTCACGAATATTGCTGACGTCACGCGATCGACACAACATTTGTATCGAACGGCCGGCGTGTTCTCGCGGATCGCAAGACTCGCATCATTTTCTTTTGTCGTCGACGTACGAAATTCGCAGCCAGACTTTCCGATCTTGCTGACCGGTGGCACGACTACTGCCATTACAAGGAACAACACGAGAGTTAATGCCGCTGGAACGGGGATGGCTGTGAGACGGGCCAACGCTGTCGTCAAAGGGTGTCGTTCAAGACTAAATCGACCGCGGACAAACGTGCCAACAACAACACCGCTAATTCTGCTGGGAGAACGACCGGTGTCTTTTTATTCGGTGTAACTTTATACCGCGATACCATCTACCAAGGATATCGTTATTCTCGGCCGCTGCGATCTAGGATCCACGGAAAATCATCGTCCTCGATTAATCTCTCGGCGAAAAAACATTCTTCCAATATCGATGAATATCGAACGTTTATTAGACCGAGTCATAAATAATATTTATTTTGTTTGCTTTTTTTATTTACTTTTTTATTTTTATTTTATTCATTTACTCTTTATCTATTTAATGTTAGCACAACGTCGTTTATCCCGGTGACTCATAGTAGGTAGATACGAACAATGGATTAGACTTAGTTGCATCGGAAATTATTTATGACCCATCCTAATCCCAAACCTCATCCTGCTCATCGGGATTTAGTGCGTTCGACCCTTCTTATAGAATATTTCAACTCGTTCACAACAACGACACAGTTATATTTGCAATCAATGTTATATTATATTTATAACATATGATGTTTAAAACAAATGTTCGCAAAAGTATTATACCTAATTTAGGTACCTATTCTCTGTCATCCAGAATAAGGTATGTTTTTGTTCTTTTAGTATATAGTTATCTATCTAGTTATTATATATTATCTCTTAGTATATTGTTCTTTTAAAATAGGTCTATAAAATAGGTTTATTATATATTTATTATATATTAAAATAGGTTTATCCGTATATATGAATCGAGTAAAGTTAAAATTAAATATCTCGATCCTCTTCGAACGTATTATTGCTCCTGAAAATTTATGAACCATTCTAACACAATATATGCTAATAACATATCTATAGCAATTTTTCGGTTGCGCTAAAGAACACAGTGTACACGGCGCCTGTAACTGTACATTGTTTACAACGACATTCGTGGAATTAATTGGTTATGGAATGTCGCGGTTCGAAAAACTTGCCGGCTAACAGGAGAAATTTTTATTCGAGACCTCTGGGACAGGATCGCGATATAAACAAGCCGAATGTGACTTTTATATCAAGAACTGTTAGGCACGTGCATAAAACTCGCGGAGCAAGATACATGGAATAAAAACGGCGTGTTCCAACGAGGCGATGGGGAACACGGTGTTTGTAAACTCTGCCGCCCTTCTGGCGTGCCGTAGCATTTCTATCTCAAGTGACAGCGAAAATGTGTAAACAGGACACATCGTTGATCTATTCACGCGCAATTTTATCGATCCACCGCGCAGTTTTTAGCAAAATCGAAATCCTATCGCATTTACCATTTCCAATCTTCCATGCTGTTCCGTTTCATTTTGTAATTGACGTCAATTTGTATTATTTATTTGTTTGTATTATTATTTATTAGCTTCGCCGTTTTTTTTTTGTTCAACAGAGCACTAGAACATCTTTTAGCAGAACATCATTTTTTGACCAAAGACTTAAACGCTTAAACACTAAGTCAACACTGCCCTTTAAAACCTCACCCTATTCAACGAAATTTAGCGTGACAGACCCTTTTTAGAGGACACTTCAAATCGTTTCAAACGAGTTTACATAAGCTGTTCACCGAAATCGCTGATTCGCAGATTCTGTATTATATCAATATTAGCTTTTAGTTACGTAATGCAAAAAAATGGCTCATTAGCCGTACATATAAATAAACGAAATTAATTAAATTAAGTGAAAGAAGCTACTGATCCACATCAAATATGTTAACCGCAGCTATCGAATTTCCAACAATGGTGCCACATTTGAATAAATTAATCTCGTTTGGCAGCAACGGTTCGATTAAAAAGATTGTTCCTGTTCAAAATCATTCCGCACTAATGCCGCGGTTATTTCGATTAGGATTATATTTCGTGTTCCTTGTCGTAGTAAACAACACGGTGGCCTCGAAACACGTGTTTGTAAACAAGTTCCGTGCTCGAATCAATCGATATCAAGCACAGACGGCAGTTTCTATCCTTATTCCATTATTCTTATTCGAAAAGAATCAACCGCTTCGAATGTTCCAATCACTATTTTAGTTCTTTGTACGATCTTTTTCGAACAAGATAAAAAAGATGTTACGAAACATACATAGTTAGACCGCGGATCTTTGCGCAAACGATAAATTGTTCGCATCGATCACAAGAAACAATAATCACACGAAACTTTCCTCGTTTCAATATTCTCACAGAGTCGAAACCCACGTGTTGACGTTCTTAGACTCCCTTAATTTAATTTTTAGTCTCCCTTAATTCATAGACTCCCTCAATTTTTTTACATTAACGAACCGATCAACTGATCAACTGAATTTTGTTGCGAATGCATAAAATCCGTAAACCATTAGGTGGCCCGGAAAGTTATGTCGTTTGTTTACATTAAATTCAAGCAGACAAATATGCGCAGAAACGACATTACTTTCTGGTCCCCCTAATACTTACAATCTTATCAGCTAAACCGCGATATAGCTACATGCTCGCGGAAAATATAGGAACGATTGTATGAAAAATTACTCACCAGGGGGCTATCAGGCGTATGTCGGTGATGGGCGATGGGCATATTGGCCATTGCCACCCCTCCGCCGGGGTTGGCCATGTCCTGGTATTCATCGCTCATTTCCATCGCGTAGGATGGCAACGGTTCTTTGTTCTTCACCCGAATTTTGGCAGATTTACCGCGATCGCGGTCGCCACGACACGAGAGACACCCCCGCAGCCGAACACGCTGCCAAAACGCTCGCGTACGATCGCGACCGTTGAGCAAACCTAGAAACCTAGAGGAGGTCGCAGAGAGAGGTAGAGGGTGCCGAAGGAACGACGCGAACAACAATGCCTCGGCGTTCGTCACCGTCCAACGATCCACTTGCCGGCCTTCTCCGCGCACAAGCCGCGGAAACCGAAGCGGCACCGGGAACGCCGCCGAATTCGGAACGTCAAGATGATCCAAAGTCGGCTCGATCGGTAAACTAGTAGCCTCGACGCTGGTGAAATATGCCGATCCGGGGGCAACCACTATCCCAATTGCCGGTTACGCGTGGCCATGTTTGTACGCTGGTTTCTCGTAGGATCACCGATTCACTGATCCTTTATCGGATCGCTGGTCCGCGCGCAGACGAGACACACGCGGCGGTTCGGTAGCTGACATAAGCCTGTCGGCTGGATCGTATCGACTGGTGCACAATGTACGACAAGCCGCGGAACAACACAGAATAGACAAGTGAAAAATACGAAAGAAGACGTCCGTGGGAGAGGCCGTGAAGCGCGCACGCGTGTATTCCGCACGATGGTAAAGCGCGCACACCGCGATTCCGAGAGGGACTGATTCTTGAGGGAGGAAGAAAGGAAAAGAAGGCTGCTAGGTAAGCTGGCAGGGAAGAAGGCTGGCAGCCAGGAAGGCTGGCAGGCCGGAAGGCTGGCAGGCAGGACAGAAGGACGGATGATCGGCGGGAGTAGGGGCAGGGATGAGACGAGTCTCGTTGCTCGTTCCTCGTTGCTCGAGGCCGAGCCGAGAAGGGCAGCGAGAGGGATCCGCGAGGGGAGTGGCGCCAACGAGTGGAGGAAACACAGGGCCGAGAAAGTGTGTTGTCGACGTGAATCCACCCGGCTCCCTGGCCTTTTATGCGGTCGCCTCGATCGACATCGCTGCGTTCGTCACTGACCGGAGTGCATAGCTCGCGTTATCGAACCGGGAACAGACCGATGGTAAACAACGTTGGAACGACTGAAGACGGAGCTGACGCGCGCACACTCGCGTCCTCTTGCGATCTGAGGCTCGGAAGCTCGAGCCTGTTCGCGATCCCCTCTCCCAACCGCGCGATTCGATAGAGCCTCGCAGCCGGACAGGACGAGAACAAGGAGGCAGGCGGGAGCGCCGGTAGGCGTGGATCCGGCACGCCAACGCCGATGCCCGGCGCGGCGCGCCGCGTATCAGCCGTGCTGGGCGGCCACCGCTGATCACGCCCTCCGCGACACCACCCTCCGCCTATTCCCTCTTCCTTCATCTCGCTCGCGGCCCGATCAGCTTTCTCCTTCAACCTCTGCGTTACCCCTCGCGCGGCTAGGTCTCTCTCTTGCGCGCACCCTACCGGATAACGACCCCCGTGCGCGCCCGGTTGGGACCGGAGATTTTCGATGCGTTCTCGCGCGGGATTTCCCTCGACCCGTGTACCTGCTTCCGTTTCGACTTGGCATATATACCACCGATACCCTGCCTCCAAGTCGTGCGTGCACGATGGTACATCTAGCGACGAAACGCGCTGCGGCTCTCTTTAATCAATTAGCCTGCCGATTCCACGATCGATTATACAACGGCGAGATCGACCGATTACGCTGATCCGTGCCCCGATGTCTCGGTCCGTTCGGTTTTTCGGGGGTTAACACGGTCGCTAGCTTTCAGGTAGATCGGTCGAGGGACCCGGGAAAATTCCAGGTCGTATACCTCGACGACTCGGCGGCACTGATGCGCTGATCGAGCATTCGCGGAACGAATTTAGCGATCCTCCTAATTACTCCGTTTTCGCTTATGGCCGAGCATTCCGTGCATCGCGTTCTCCAGCAATTTTATTTTACGCGTTTTGCAATGTTTATGTATGTTTTCTTCGGTGGTTTCCCTTTGTGCGTTTCTAATTGGTTCGTTCCGTATAATAAATAAATGGCCGAAGAGATCGCGATTTCCCTTTGTCGTGTTTTCATTGCCGTGTCGTGTTCCATCGGAAGGATATGGTGGCATAAGGTCGCCGGTAATTGAGCATGATTGCCGCGATCGCTCGCCGCGATACCGCGTTACGAAAGATTCTTCTTTGAGATCGTCACGACACCTCCCTTCACCCTCCGCAAGATTTCTCGATAAAAATTGCTCGCCTCGGCGCCAAACGAACGCCTGCCACGGCGACAGAAAAACGGCTTTACGAGCGAAACCTGCAAGTCGTCGTATCTGCGTCTTCCATTTTTTGGTACCATTAAGCATCGAGCAGGTAAAAAAATCTTTCGACGTTTCCCTTTGTTCGACGCTTCCTTCGAATCGACCGTCTCCGCGAATTGCCCCAACGTTCTCTTAAATACATAGGATGATCATCTTGAAAAATATCGCAAAAATTGAGTGAAATAGTTCGAGGCACATTGTTCGAATCTGTGAGATCTAAATGTCCAAACAAAGTTGGACATTTCGGAGAAGTTCGAATAAGAATGCGGAGACAAGGATGCCATCGCAGGTAAACATCCATTACAGCGAATAGAGTGAAATTGCTTTTACGAATTCTTTTCCAAAGAACGAGGCGCCACGAGTACCTACGCAAAATTACGCAGCCTATACAACGATAATGGCAAGCATTTCGAGCATCGTCTACCTCCATTTTAGCCGACGCCTCGCGAGGGGAAGTCGGCGGGGTCGCAGGGGTGGAGGAGGCGAGCGCGCCTACTGGCAAATGGTATTAAACCACAGGTTTCGGCGCCCGTTCGGTTCTGTTGGCGAGCATGGGCAGTTAACACTCCAACGGCTGTTTGATCCCGTCAGTAATAAGACTCATCCCGGTCGGTTTCGCTAGATACAACCATTCCTCTTGCCTCGTGTTCTTCCTCCTCTCGTTCGGTCCTAGCCTCGCGATCGTTCCAACGTGCCCGATCCAATTTCCCAGGAACAATTTCGCGATAAACCGCGCAGATTCCAGGGAACCACGGCACAGATGACGCTTCCGCTTCTTTCAATTTGAATACGGGGACAGAGCGGTCTCGTACTTTGCACGGCGCATCTTGCGCATTCAATGATTTTAGATACGACCGCGCTTCTATTAAATTTTATTTCCACTTGCATAACTCGATTTTCACAGTTCCTCTTACTTTTACGTTATTCGAACGAGCAATAAACTCATTATTATACGTTCCGCGCGCTTCGAGTCACGTATTGGCCATTCCGCGGTGACGCCATCTTTGTGGCCGCCGAAGACATTCCGCGGTGCTTGGGCAGGCTGCAGAAAAACCTGGAAACCGCTCGTAAAGGCGCCGGAGGAACGTGGAAAATGAAGAAAAGGTGTAATTGAGACGGAAACGGTGTCGTTTCGTCGATATACGAACAACGATCCAACCGATCCGAACTCGCGCAACCCTCTCGACCCGGTCTCTCTCTCTCTCTCTCTTTCTCACTCGCTCTCTAGATCGCTCTCGTTTCTTCTCTGCCCCTTCGGTTCGCGTTTCTTGTTTTTCTGCGGCAGAGGCAGAGGTCCGCGCAGCTTCTCTCCACTTCCAGTTTCGCCTCGTCCTCCCGCTTGCATCTGCATGCGCTCCACGTCACATATACAGGCAAGATGGCGCGTACGGTGCTCGTAGTACAAATTGCAGGTAATTGCAGCCCGCGGAGAGGGCTCTCCTCCTCCTCCTCCACCGCCTTCTCCTCCTCGTCTCGCAAGGGCCGGCCGAAGTCGGGACCGTGTGAAACTGCGAATTTTATGATTTACAAACGTGATCCTTTATAAGGGTATATGGATCTACGCGGCGAACGAGCCGAGCCGCTGTTAAGATCCGCCCATCGGTGACCTCGCGGACCAACCGCGAGATAATTGTACGCCACGGAGGATGCACGATTTACTCCTGCGATTTACGATTTCGCTCGCTTCGACCGGCCGGGGAAATATCGACCGGGACCAAGGAAACGTGGCCGTTTACCCCGAGCCTGCCTCGCTTGATCACCCGCTTGATCATCCAAAGCAATTTCTATCGAAGCGATGGCTCGAGCCACAAGTCCTGACGTTTACAAGGTATTTCGATGGAAAGTTCTTCTCGCGACCTCCGATCGGTGTTCTCTCGTCGATCTAAATTCTGCAGTGCAAATGTTCCAAGCGAAATTCGCCTCGAACTACGGATCTGTATGATTCGTGGACTGAAATGCTTCGAGTAATTTTCCGAGGACCGTTGCTCGGTCGTCTACAGCTTTTATTATTGGAACGTTGACGTCTCGTTGTTACCTGTAGGACAGCTGCTTCGACAGAAGCAGATATTAAGACATTCGCCGAGCCGTTCGGTCGTTTGCACGCCAAGTGGAAACTGATCGGCGAATTTCCGACACGGCGGGTAGTCATTGTCCGTTACGACGTTTCTCGGAAGATCACCAGACCTGCCCACTATTCTTCGATGGCCTTCGATTTTGACCTTGTCCATACCATTTTGAACCGTTACGATTGCCAAAATTTTATAGGCTGTCCGAACAAGTGCCATCAGGGTCTACGTGTTCGAGAGAGAGTCGGAAAGAAAGAGATTACAAATAATTTATAACTTCACGCTTTAAATAATTGCCCTTTTAAGCCCGTGCCTTACAATTTATTTTCAAGGAAACCTAATGTTTGCAGGCAGATTAATTTGACGCGACTCTATGCGAGAAGTTATCACGAAATGAAACGAAAATATTTCTGTTTTTATTCGATATATTTATATAGTTAATGTCGACACTGTTTCATTTTTAGTAGAACAGATTAACAAAGTAATGCCGATATTAGTAAATGAAAATTGGGAAATATCCTTTTGCAAGTTGCAATGAAATTAAGAAAGAAATTCTTAACATAATTGAAGCGATCGTGAACGAAATTCTTAAACTATTTAAATTCCTTTCTAATATTGTTTATTTTCTAATAATTCACTGTTACCATAATTGCACACTTAACAGACAAGAGAATGTGTAAATTTCACAATAATTTCATTTTAACAGTCAGAAGAAAATACGATTTTTGCGGGCGGGTCTCGTCATTTCCACTGAAAGGTTTAAGTTGGTTTTCAAACTCAACAGATAAACTATTCAACAAACTAAGATTAGACGAATCAACGACGTTTGGTATCGCAAGATCGAGAACGTTAACTCGAAACCGCGAAAGATCCTCGCAAATGGAGCCGAGATATTCATCGAAGGCTCGAAGATCAAATCGATATCTACAATGTACGGAATGAAGCGGCATTTAACAAGATCTACAAGCTGCTTGCAACACACGTTATCCGACGTCTACTGGCCTCCATTTGCAAGCGTTTTCGCATCCGTACAATCGGTCGTTGAACGGCCGCGTTAAGTATTCTCGCAGCGTGCGACTCGCCGGCTCTCCCCGGTCGACTTAATTATTGCAATATCGCTAATGCTTCCTCGATATTTTTTCTTTTCTGTACGTGGCTCACGTTGTTATCAATTTCGCATAGAACGCTCGTAATTATGCCGGGGCCTCGAGAACCGGCGGCGCATGTGACGGCATGTACGTGGTCGCTGGGCACGGTGGCCGCGCCGGGCACACGTGTTTCCTGTCTGTCCGCCCGTATGGCAAGAGCTGTAATCGAGGAGTTGTCATAGGAAAACAAAAGTAGACGTGAGGGTACCGACGTTCGTCGTATTACGGTATCCCAAGCACATTAGACCTGGGCCAGGCTCCTGCCATGCCCCGGCCGGACCCTCGCAGATTAACCCAAGTTTCGGAAAATTAATCTCTCAGCCTTGGGACAGCGGTTTTCAAGCAGTCGCTCGTAGATGCGCGGCCATTATCGAGATTTTACATTATCTTGATCTCTAGATCTTTTAAAAATTAATCACACCCGGGGAATTTTCCGGGCTTAAGCTTGGCGGCTTTGAGGTTGCTCGAAGCTCGTTGATATTCGATTGGCAGCTGTCGTCGAGGTAATGTTCAGGAAAATCGTGTCGAGACAGACAATCGAAGAGAAACTTCGGGCGCACAATAATTTCACTCGAATCGTCCCTCAGCCTGGGACAACTTGGAAGGAGGAGATAAGATTATTCGAACGT